GCTGTCGTTTGTGCACTCTCATTTTGGGCCATTTGGTACTCAAACATGCGGCATTCATAGCACGATTCGTTTTACTTCCCACGGACTTTGACTTTTGATCGATTTTCTTTGAAATGAGGATAAATATACTTTGTCAATGAATCGTTCTCGAATCGTTGGAAGATACTTCGCAGTACCATCAGCATTTATATCAACCCATTTCCTTGGCTTATGCAAATCCCGCTCCTTCACGATAAAGTGCTATTTATAAAATCGTAGGGTGGTGCGGATTGCCTTATTTATTGGGGAGTCGTATTAGCACACTACGATGCTTTTTCAGAATGCAAGTCCTGAGATGTCATGTCAGCAAAACTCCGAAAGGACACTGAACTATAAGCTAATGTTAGTAGCTATAAAAACCTGTGCAGAATGATTCACCAGCTCCCGCGAGATGCCTTATAATATTTTTATCCGTACAACACTGGCGAGTTTTCCTCTTTTATATTTCCTTCCGCGTATTCTATCTTGCAGGTATTTGGTTGCGCATTTTCTCCACTGATTGATCGTATCCACTCTAATCCTGCACCATGATGGCGCTCCTGTATTTGGTGCTGGCCGTTCTTGGCCTTTGTATTTGTTACCGCGTCCCCCGTTTAAAATACTACCTAAAGTTTTTCATATTTTCCGGTGTAATTTCTGTTGGATCTGTATTCTACCTATTCTACTTCATGTATCTTGGTCGATCGTACAAAAATGCCTGGTAAGTTCTCCAATATCTTTATTTTACTATGGTTTAAAGGCGATTTAAGCGGCTATTTTGGCTCTCTGGTCGCCTTATCGGGTTAAAAGCGATCGTCAGAAACCCCGAAATTCTTCTTTTGGATAAACCTTGCATTTATGTTGCCAATCACCAAAGTATCATTGATGTTTTCAGTAGGTATTTATTCTCGTGGCTCCTTCATACATGATTATTACCAGGTCTATCCGACGTTTGGCCGGAACATTGTACAATTGTTTCTAAGTCGTCCATTAAATTTGCCGGACCTGTGGGTTTCATCACGTGGTTCGCCAAGCTTATATTTATCGACAGATCCAAGCACAAGGATGCTGTTTCTGCCATGAAGAAGGCCGCAGAAGAAGCGTCTCGAGATAAGGTTAGCGGTTAGATCTGTTTCCACCAAACTGGTTTTTAATTTCTAGGTCTCCGTCTATGTATTTCCCGAGGGTACGCGTTCTGACAAGGATACGTTGCTTCCTTTCAAAAAAGGCGCTTTCCATTTGGCAATCGATTGTCAGGTAGGCCTAATTTTATTCTTACCTAAATGCGTTTTCTTTCAGTTTCCAATCCAGCCAGTGGTAATCTCATCCTACAAAAGATTCCTGGATCACGAAAACAAGAGGTTTGACTCTGGTAAGTCACGTTCACATGTTTCTCGATGGCTTATATACCTTGTTATGACTAGAGGGTTATGGTGGTGATGGTCAAACAGTGTAAGTCGCTGTCATCGACGTGCTTTGGGTCTCAACGTCTGTGGTTCGGACCCCACAACCACCACCAAACCTTGGTGTTGGGCGGCTTCGCTGTCGTCTCACTAAATACCACTCCTAACCTAGCCGGGGTCTTGTGTGGTTCGCCATTCCAAATCCTAGGGCTAAGGTTGCGGTTTTCATGAGTTAATGACAGGTCCTCACGACTGTAGATTTTAATTCATCTGCTGTTGAGCACATAGGGGTGAGTAATAAAGAACATATAAGCTGGTTTAAATTCCAGAAAAGGTTTATTACGCTGACGCCACCCCTTTCAACACGTCTGTGGTGGTTTGGTTGCTGTTTTTAGGCATCGTGAAACTCGATGGGGCGTTTCTTTTGCCGGTCAAGTTTACTCGGGTGGCAGGAATACACCCTAGCTAAAAGCAAAAAACGATCTGAAACAGTCAGTACGGACATAAAGTCCTATCTGTTGTCTGAGGGGTCGAACAGGTAGTACCAGGATTCTGATAGTGGAAAGTAGTGCTAAGCCGGAGAGGATGGGTCCGAATAGCTCACAAATGCCCACTTTAGGAGTACTCTTAAGTTCCACAATATCTTGTCATCAGAGTCTGGAGAGAATATATCTTTTTGTACTCGTCTAAGTTCAAACTGTGTGCCTAACAAATCACGATACATCAATTTTCTTAAGAAGGCATCCATCCGTGATTTGCTCGTGGATGGATTACTACCAGGTTGTTCATACTAAAGCACGTGCGTTTTCTTCGGTGTTCACAACCCCAGCCTTTGGCTAACTGAAACCCTACCAGCATGGCAGCGGGGCTGTCCATTGGAGGTCGGTCTTCACTCAGTTAGATCGCGCACCCTTCATACCTCATTGACTCTTCCATGTTGTTCAGTACCCAGGTCACCCAGTGAAACTGGTAATCAACACTAGCAAACTGTCTTGTTGCCAGTTCGTACGCCTATTGGGAGTTCCGAACTCAAAGTTTTACTATTTTCTTAGATCAGCTAGATGCCTGTAGCTTATTGATCTGCCTATAGCCTCGGGTATTGGCTTTTCGACCCTCTCTTTAGTGAAAACACTTTCACATTTAAAAGCAGGATGTAGGATTTCCCTAGCAAATGCTCTAAGAGACACTGCACGAGAGATTTTCTTGTGAAACCTCGCCCACTCTCAAAGAGACTGAAGCTTTTGAGATTAACCTAAGATAACTGGTTATTCATATCGGTGACATGCAAGCCATATGCACAAGCCATTCAAGCTCCTGTGATAGAACAAGGACATACAGAACAATTTAAATGGTTATGGTGGTCAGTGAAATACAGTAAAGTCAACATCGTTGATCACTATCAAGCTCATATTGCGTGAAAAGTACAAACAGATGGGATGCTGAATGGAATGTACCTTGTTTTGAGAGAGGAGAAAGGGAAATGAACTGCCGCGATGAAAGTGCATAGTGCATAGTATAACTGGTCAGACAGATCTTTTCAGGCATTCTGATTGAATGAGAAGTGACATAAAGAACGCTATTACTGTTAGTTCGCTCTTTTAGGGTCTTCAATCAATCAGTTACGAGGTCTTTCAGAGCCTTTCGTGGTGGGTGAAGAACCCCTACTCTGCTTGATTTCTTAGATAATGGTTGGTACTTGCTAACATCGAATTCAAAGCTTTGTCTTACGAATTACCTATAAGGTCATGTTTATTTTGCCCTATAGGGTTGTTTCTAAGGGAACTAAGGGAACAGGATAAAAATAGATTGTCGGTGTTCGAACACCGCCGTCTACGACGCATTGCACGTGTCTGGTGGGGTAACCGGACTAGCAATGCTGAGGTTAGGTGTAGAGTTTTAGGCAGTTGCGGTCGTCCACTAGAGCAAGTGATCGACCTCCATAGATTACGTATGTCGCCAGATAGGTTGCCGCGGCGAGCGACGTTCGCCGAAGCAGATACCGAGTGGAAAAAAGCCAGGGGTGGTCAAGTTAAGACCTGGCACGAGGGTATGAAAACCCTAACCAGGAAACTGGGTCACATAGGTCCTGTTAGACTCCCTGGTTGAGGACCTCGGGATGGTCGTAACCGATGGTTAGAGACACTGAGCGATATGGCTGGGTGTCGTAAACAGTGGCGTTCGTGCATCTCCTCAATTTCTTTGCAACCTTAGATCACTGAACTTCTCCATTT